AAATAAATAGGACACACATATATAAATACCAAATACTTTCTCTAGTGTGAGAAACTGAAAGTGTACATAAGGATTAAGAGAATTAATAATGAATAATTTTTACTTTAAAATAGGAAAAGGCCTAAAGGGGTAGGGATGGTGGGAGGGGCAGGGGAAAGGAAAGAAGGGAAAGGAAAATTTATGAGAAAAGAGAAAAAAATGGAAACAAAGTTTATGTAAATAGAGAAAGGTCGAGGGGGTGAAGGGTGCACAGGTAATAGGGGAAAAAATAAAAACCAAGATACATCATGTTCAGGTACAAACACTCAATGATAAATATAAACGTACTGTATACCTAAAATGTACCAATAAAAGACTTTAAGGAAAAAGAAATAAAATAAAGATTATCAGTCTGGCTAAGAATGAAGGACTATTAAATTGATAGAGCCAAGATGGCAACCCAGGCAGCCTGGCTCCAAAGTCTGTTCTCGTAACCACTGTAACATGCTATATTATCTATAAAACTTCAATCCACAAAGAGTGAAAATCAGGTCATAAAGGTTGGAGGCAGGAGGCAAAGAAGATTGGTCACAGGAAAAGGAAGTCTCTTATGTTCAAATACATTCACTTGGAACTGGTCTTACAGAGGTAGTCTAACTGCTGCAATTCTTGACTATTCATCTTCCTGACTCTCTGGTAAATATTTAAATTTATTGGCAGGTATGAGGGGAGACAAATCTATCACTGTCTCGCTTTCAATTACTTGCAGACAAAAACAAAACCAGCCTGGAGAAAGTCAGGCTGGTAAAATTTTACTAGTGCTGAAAGGCCTATCTACTGCCCAGTGAATTGTGGCAAGGTCAAAAATAGGCAGCACTAGATTTTAAGTTAGGTTGAGTCATTTTCTCTCTGGAAAGTTCCAGGTTAAATGCATGTCAATGCACATACATATTAGTATCTCACCATGAACTGGTTAATGGTATAGATGGTGAATTACCTAGTTAAGCTCAAAGGTTGAGTTTATTAACTTTGGCGGCACAACAGAGTTACACTGGGAGTTTTTAAGAAATACCGATCTGCTGCCTTATCACTGAAATATAAGAGTCTTGATGGGGGGGAGGTGGGGAATGGGAGTCAGTACTTTGTAAAGTGATCCTGTAATGGTTTTAACATGAAGTCAGGCTTGCAAAATCTTCTCAAGGGGAGGGTAATGTTGGGCAGAAGAGATATGTGTTGAGATGTCTGAATTACAGGTAGTAACCAGAAATAAGAAGTCTCGGGGAATATAACAAAAGTTAGGTAACTGGCAACAGGGAAATTAGCTTTTTTGTTAAATTCTTTTATTGGTACATTGTAGGTATACAACACAATTACATTTCTCATTGGGAAATGTACCTTTACATGATGCATCTTGGTTCTTCTTTTTTCCCCATTCCTAGCCCTCCCTTCACCCCCTCCACCCTTCCCTATT